TCTGTGATGTTCTATCTTATCCTGCTTGCACCTCTCTGCTCCCGTCTTAATTATTTTAACTCAATCCTCAGAGAAGTCAAAGGTCGGGGGGGGGGACACATATTTACTCAAAAGGGGAGAGGGAGTTAAACAGTACTGTGAGCAGGGTAAGACAGGCCTTGGCCAGGGCTCAAGAGATCACCCCTTCCAGTCTAAGATCCATCAGCCTCTCCTGCTTTACTGGGGGAAAAAAAGTAACCTGACAAGGAAAACAATTTGTTCTCTGGGCAGGCTGTTTCTTCAACTTTAAGAAAAAAAAGAACCAGAAGCTGAGGGTAGCAGCAACCAGGCAGGAGAGTGTAAGAGAAGAACCTCTTCATCTACACCCCTCCCTAACAAAGTTTCTTACACTTAAACAGTTTGAAATCTACTGGTTTCAATCTCTCTAAGCTTTCCTCCTGGTGTCAAAGGATGTGACAAAGGGAAGTAAGAAATTGAGTAAACTTAACCATCCTTAATACCAGGCACCCAGAAGTAACCCTATGCTTAGGTCTGCAACACTGGTAAGCTGTTAGCCAGGGATAAACTAATCAAATGATATAAAAAAAAAAAAAAAAAAAAAAAAAACTTTTTTCCAAGGTAGTGTATCTTTGCTACCTTCTTGTGCCCTATCCACATCCACCATTGAACACCTCTCTACAGAGTTGGGTCCTCCTTCTTCATGTGATTGTGTGCATCATATCTTTTCCAAATAGCACAAGGTACTTTTTCCTCAATTTAATTATCTAGTATCACAGGTTTTAACACTTTGTTGCAGAACTGTCTGCCATTTTGAAGATGTAAGGAAATTTTGTGTCCCCCACCCCACCCCTTAAAATTTGTGCCTCCAGAGTTTGTGGTCTTATGTGGCTATAAGCTTCTGAGAATCAAAGCCCAAAAGCTTCTGCTGCAACAAGACACCACAACATATGGTTAGGATTGGGTCCTGTCTTATAACATGACCAGTGGTTCCCACAAAGGAAGATATGTTCTGTCCTCTGCAATCTCAGTATGGCAGGTAGCTCAAGATACTGGGATGTGAAATGGGAGGAAAGTGATACACGTTACCCTGTTTCTTTAACTGGTAGACACCGGGGAGAATCCTAAGATGGACCAACTCTAGAACTGAACCACGATGACAGTTTATGCAGGGTAGGCCGTCTGTGACTATGATCTTTCTCAGATTGTAAATCTGCATATGGAAATGTTTGGGGTGCATGGCTGACAGAATGTTCCTCGAGAAATGTTTGGATTGGTTTAATGTTTATTTATTGTTTGTTTGTTTGTTTGTTTGTTGTTTTGGTTCTTTTTTTGTGTAATTGGATTTACTTGCCCACTTGCTATGAAAGCTCAGTACTGCTGAGACATACTCCCATGCCACAATATGTTCCTTTTAAAACCAATATCACATATGAAATCTTAAAGTCATTTTCACAGAGTATATAAAAATGTATGAAAGAGCACTGAATCACAAATAATATAAAAGATATTTTTAAAAACTAAGACAGCAAACTCAAATCTCAGCATAGTAACATTCTGAAGGTTAGCAGTAATCTCAAAAGGCAATGGTGCAGATACTGGCACGTTTTCTTGGTCAGAGGAGTTTTGCAGTATGTATCCACTTGGCAGAAACCACAGTAGGCACATTGTTTAAATGAGGGCAATGACGTACTAACAATGTTTATTGTAGCATTATTTTTTCATTTTCAGAAATAATGAAGGAACTAATTCTAACCATATTGTAGAAGATATATATGATAGACTATTGGGAAATTTGAATTTTAAGAAAATATTCTTATTACCTAGTAGGAAAAAAACTACTTCATAATCTAATATTGAACAATATATTACCACAACTACGAAAAAATGAATGTAATATTTAAAACACATTAAGAAAAGATCACACTTTTTCATTTATTCTCTCCCATATATTCTAAGGCGACTACAATAGAAATGAATCTGAAAGTCAGGCTTGCGACACACTTGTTATCCCAGAACATGGAAGACTGAGGCAGAAGAACAGAAATACATTGGACTGCATAGGCATACCGTATCTATCTCAAAAATAACCAACAAAACAAGCAAACAAAAGAGACTGCCATGTCATCATATGGAATTCATGATAGACTAACAGTGAATGTGTGAAACAATTTCTTCAGCAGGTTTGTAAACTCCCACACCCACTGGACAGGATCAAAGGAGTAGTCAGCCTTCTCCATGGAAACAATAAAGTAAGACTGCCAGAGGACAGAGAAAGCAAGTGGAGTTCCTGTAGGTCTTCTCTCATCGCTGACATTCCTTCTAAGGTGGAAATGGTAGGAGAGTCATGGTTAGTGAAGCTACCACTCCCAGCCACACTCGTCTCTTGCTTTGGTAACACCATCATTGCCTACTCTCACTAGCAGCAATTCTTCGCCCTTTCAGCCACACTGAAGGAGGGAGAAAACTGCTTCCACAACTACCAGCTCTGCCCTCGTCAGTGAAGGTTAAATTTAGGTACCTGCATGGGCAGCTTTAATGACTCAGAAGCTGTGGGATCTAGTACTTCTAGTGAGAGTTTAAAAAGCATGTAATTGTGCTAAATGACTACAAGTTCAGGGATATACAGAATAGACATATATTGGAGTCCTAGAGGGTAGTAATTTTAGCAAGTTGTTAGGGAAAACCTTAAACATGTAGTCACTTGGAATTTGTATTTATTTGAGGTTTTCAAAGCATTGTGATGGGGACTTCATCAGGACAGTGAAAAACTAAACAGATTAGGCTAAAAATAAGTGGCAGGGGAGGTAGGGGCAGATGGGACTTTCAGCTCCGTACGAAAGAATAAAGCGGTAGACAATGGGATTCAGCGCTGGGAGGAAGGCAGAGCAGTAGTTCAGTGGTAGTGTGTCCATCAAGTCTCCAAGTTCTAAGTTCCACCCCAGACAGAGAGGTGGGGTGGGGGAGTACTAATCATTATATAGCTAAAGACCACAAACATCATTAAAAAGGAAAACGTTTATAATACATATGTTACAGTGGGGTTAATTTCTACATTTGCAACATAAAATCAATACTATTTTTCAAAATTTATAAATGATTATGAGCGCACAAAAACCCAAAGTTCACATAGAATGGGAATTAACTTTCATGCATGTACCCATAGAATAAAAGTTTGGACTTATATATAATATCGTCAAAAACAAATTTCATTAATAAAAAAGTTTGGACTTGTAAAGTCAATGAATCTACTTGTAGAAATACAGTAAGAATGTATGAAAATATTCTTTGTAAATTAAAGAAGCAATATCGTTGAGTAATGTATTAATATTTTTCTCCTTGACTCAGTTCACTCAAAATTACATAATGTTTTTCCTACTAGAAGGTAGAAATGGGAATCTCAAGAGGTTACATTTAAAAAGATTTCATCACACCCAGACTCAAATAAAAAAAAATAAAAAGCTAGTTTAAACTCTCTCCCTGCTACATATGTCATGGCCACCAGGACAGACAGCAATAATGTGACATCTAGCAGTGAGGACCCAAGTAAAGAACCTGTTGAGCTATGTATGCAGGCTATCAACACTGAAGCAGATACTGCAGTCACCACCTTTTATATTCATGGCAACTGTGACACACAGACGTGGGATTACATTCTAAATTATACACTCTTGTAGAACACCTTTTTGTGCTAAATACAAGAAAAAAACAAGATACTCTGGAAAGGAATGTAAACCTGGTAACAAAGGTGGTTTTACGTTCTAATAATATACTTATTACTCACATTGTTTAAATGGAAAGAAAAAGCATGTAGGAAACTAAACACTACAGGGTATTACAAAATGTCACACCATATTTACAAACAAAATTACCCCGCAGAAATCAAACACTAATTCTTACACACAACCTATCTATTCAGAACACACTGTTAGCCACTTTTTTATGTGCTTAAATATAAATGGTGAGCAAAAAGGAAGCAAACTAGTACAAATCTTGTCCTTAGCAACAATACTTTTAAAATATTTGATAATAAGATGGGGTTATGGGTTGTTTGTATTTTTCATATTAGTTTTTAAATACTTTTGTCACACTGAAGAAAATGTTCAAGTGACAAATAACTCAAGCTAAATATATGAGATTTTTAATGTGACATATAGCAATTACATATATCAATAGAATTTGGTCTGATTCTATAAAAGGGTTTTTAAGATGCTAAAGCAAAGGCACAAATATGCATCCTAGTATGTTTAAAAGACCCGTATGGATTATAAAGTCACTAAGGCAATTACCATAAAATACAATTAATGGTGACCATGAGGCGATGGGACTGCAGGAAAAAACTTGTTTTCATTCACACTTTACAGAAATTTTCCAGACGGAAGTGAAACAAATTCTACATTGAAAGAACACAAACCCCAGGACAAGCAGGGGGTAGAATAATAAGGCCTTTCAGGGAAGCCAAAATACAAGTAGCTGTAGTGTCTAGGCTGCCCTACAATAGTAAAGTCAACTTGAAAAATAAAGGGTTTTGTTCTAAGGCTGTGAATATTAACAAAGTAAGTCTAGAATTTATTAACTCAATTGCCAGTTCCAGGCAGGCACAAATCTTACTAGAGGAAAAGGAAGGGGAGGGGAGGAGAAAGGGAAGAAAAGGGGAAAAGGAAAGGAAAAAAAGCCTTTTTAGTTTAAAAAGACTCACAGTATTTTTTCAAACACATAGGGCAGAGGAGAAGGGGCTGTATGGCGCAACACTGCCATCTAAGACTTTAAAGAAACAGACAGGCACCCACATCGGAGGATCGTCCATCTTCGGAGGATCATCCATCTTTTCCGCTGCTTTTCTGCCCACAGCCCATAAGATGAAGGCTAGGAAAGACAGGTGGGATGAACAACACACAACGCATTCAAACCTGAGCAAGGGGACTAGAGAACCATTCAAACAAAGGAAGCTTCTCTTAAGTCCCGCCCGCGGAACCATGGCAACAGCAACAGGAAGTCCCTACCACATTGGAAAGATGAGCTCTTCTTAGTGTAGGATTGGCTGGTTCAGAGTCTGCAAGCATATGCTGGCGAGGTTGCTGCTAGTCTGGCTGGGAGGCTCCTGCACTTTCCTTCCAACGCTGTAGCTGCCTGTTGCCTAAGAGACGTGGTTGGTGATGTCCAGAACCTGTTCCCGACAGCCCCCTGCGCCTCACGCTCAAGACGTGTACAAGGACACGCTCCTCCCACTCACCCCAGCCTCGAACCCACTTCTGACGCACTCACTGTCCTCCAGGCCCTCACCTAATCTGAATCTAACTGCTCACAGCAGCAAGCCAAGCAACCCGCTACTGGGGCCTCTCATCCTTTGGGGCCTCTTAGGTCACACATGAGCATCAAGGAACAGTGTGCCTATTGGTCCAATAATGCATAGATGCCCTAGCTGTTACTGAGCTCCCAGGCAATGACAAGAAAAATCGCAAAAAGCCTTCTGAGTTATTTTAGCTCTATCTAAACATAACTGAAAAAAAATCTTATTTCATAAAAACAGGTTTGATTTTTTTTTTAATGGAACTGTACACCATCGTTTTAATGACAGTAGGTTTGCCATAAAGACAGACAGGCAGTTCTTTAACGTTTCACAGGGTCTCCGGGTGGGCCAGAGACTAAAAGAACTCCCTTTCATCTGAGTTCCGCTATTTCCCTGAAGTATACTGCCTTATTTTCTGGGGATGCTGTTTCCTCAACTGTAAGGATAAGAAGCCAGAGAATTCTGTATTCAGGCAAGGAGCTGGGAAGAAAGGGCCTGCTTCTGCTGTAGCTCCGCCATGCACAGCACTTTCCCCTCTCCTGGGAGTTTCTATCTCTTAAAATTTAAAATCCATTGGTCTACGGGATCTCTAAATTTCCTTTCTACTCAATATCCCATACAGACAGAAAAATAAGAGAAATAAGAAATGACAAGAATGAGTAAACCTTGTCATCCTGAAGAGTACCCAGACACCCAAAAGTAACCTCTAAGCTTAGGGCTACATCAATGACAAGCTTCTGAATTAAGAGAAATTTTCATTCTTAAGATATTTTTTTTTAGTGCCCTACTGTGTCCTACCTAAAGAGTATGAGGTGCATGGACAACAATAGCAACTACTAAACTCCATAGCTATTTGAGTCCTTCTATTTCAGGTGAGGTTTTTTTTTTTTAATGAACTTTTTCAAATAGTAAGCTTTTTTGCCAGTACGTAGTTCCTGTGACAATGTAGGTTATGTTGTTCTGTTACAGCATCTTTTCTGATTTGAAGGTGCATGAGGAACCCTTTACTTCTAAAGTCGTGACTCCAGAGCTTGTGGTCTGTTAGAAAATCATGTACGATTTGAGTATACACTTAAGAATCAAAGCCTACAAACTTCAGGTTGCAAGTGTTACTACAGCCAGAGCCTAGGCCCTGGCAGACCACCTATCCTCAATAAGCCAATTAAACAAAGTAATGGTAAAAAGTGGAAAGATTTGTTTACTGCAGCCACAGTGGGCACAGGAGCATAGAACTCCAGTGATCTGTCCCAAAGACCATTTTCCACTATACAGAAGTGACTTTTAGTTTTTTGGGTTTTGTTTTTTTTGTTATTGTTTTTTGTTTTTGTTTTTGTTTTTTTTTTTGTTTTGTTTTTGGTTTTTCGAGACAGGGTTTCTCTGTGTAGCTTTGAGCCTTTCCTGAAACTCACTCTGTAGCCCAGGCTGGCCTTGAACTCAGAGATCCACCTGGCTCTGGCTCTTGAGTGCTGGAATTAAAGGCATGCGCCACCACCGCCCGCCCAGCTTAGTTTTGTTTGTTTTTTTAATTAAGAGATTTTTCTATTCATTTTACATCACCAACCAGATTCCCCTCCTCTCCCTCCTCCAGTCCCCCAACCTCCCCCCCCCACCTCCTCCAAGGCAAGGTCTCCCATGGGGAGTCAGCATTCAGTTGAGGCAGGTCCAAGGCCCTCCTCCCTGCACCAAGGATGCACAAGGTGTCCCACCATAGGCACTAGGCTCATGCACCAGGGATGGGTCCAGATCCCACTGCCTGGGGGCCCCCTAAACAAATCAAGCTAAACAACTGTCTTGCCTATCCAGAGGGCCTAGTCCAGTACCATGGGGGCTCCTCAGCTATTGGTCCACAGTTCATGTGTTTCCAATAGTTTGGCTGGTCATCTCTGTACATTTTCCCATCATGATCTCAATGTCCCGTGCTCACAGAATCCCTCCCTCCTCTCAGCCGGGCGGTGGCAAATTTCTCCTCTCTCTCATCGATTGGACTCCTGGAGCTCGGCCTGGCCATGGATCTCTGCATCTGATGACTTTTAGTTTTAAATAGAGGGCAGAATAAAGTATGCAGAACTAAGCTGTCTTACTCAAGGTGTAGTCCTAGCCATCATATTTTAGACTCCAGTCTCTTACAAGGTATGCCAAGGTATCAGAACTATGTGCAATCTCTTTAAGAGCAGCTTCTCCCTGTCCTGGCACAGGATTCAGGATTTTAGTTCCCCAAAGTGAAAATCCTGGGGAAATTTCCAATTCCTTGAGGTCCACTGTTGAACAGATAGCCAAAGGAGAAAATATTTAAGTATCTCTTTAGGACATCTTCATTCCTGCCTGGACACTTACACAAGGAAATAGCAGATAACACAGTCAAGAACAGGACTTGCTATTTCCCAGAGGAAAGCCTATGTGCTCTATCCTTGTCTGTAATCTTAGTGTGGAGAGATTGTTCAAATACATCCAAGGCAAGGTATCATAAGGTAAAAAATAAACACATGACTTAAATTTAGTAATTTTTGTGAATCAGGGTCTTAAGTAGACCATGCTGACCTCCAACTAGCTATATAAATGAGGCGATCTTGAACTCCTGATCGTCCTGACTCTACCTCCTAAATGCTGGGATTACAAATCTGCAGCACCGTGCCCAGCTGTGATTCAAATATAATGCCTATTCAACTGATATGCATGAAGGTAACAAGGAGGCTAGACAACTTCAAAGCTGAGGCAGATGGTAGTTTATCTAGGACAGGGAACAGAGTTTGTGGTTGGTGACTATGTTCCACCTCAGGTTCCAAAACTTGTGGTTTCTGTGAGCTGTTTTCCACCCCCTTTTAAACATGTACTTACGAAGTTCTCTTTCTTTTTTGTTATTACTCTTTTGTTTTTACTTTTTGCTGAACTGGGGATTGAACTCAAAGCTTGCAAGTGTTAAGCAAATGCTCTAATACTGAATGTATAGTCCTGATCACAAAGTACTCATTTAACTTTTTTTAATTATTTTTTTTTAATTTTTATTTATTTATATTTTATGTATGAGTTCTCTGCATGTATACCTGCATGCTGCCAGAAGAGGGCATCAGATCCTATTATAGATGTTCGTGAGCTACTGTGTGGTTGCTGGGAATTGAATTTAGGACCTCTGGAAGAACATCTCTCCAGCCCCAAGGTACTCATTTTAAATGAACAGTATCTTATATGAAATCTTTTAAGCTCATTTTTATACAAAAAGTATGAGAAACAAATGTATAGGTCTTAACTGAAAATGTAGACCTTTGATGCAATTTAAGAGAATTTATTTTAAAACAAAAACAATATAGCAATGTCTGAATTTAGTAACATTTAAAAGGTCAGCAATAATCTCAAGTAATGAAGTAGTAATGAAGACACTTGATAAATGTTCTCAAAGGAATTTTGCAAAATGTATCTCTAACAGTCTCAGCAGGAGCCAAGATATTCTAAAGAGAGACATTTGTGCCCCTGCCTTGGGCTATCAAATTATTGAGAGACAATGGACCCTAAGAAATAGGAATTTATCCCAAGAGTCCCATTCTGGGAAGGAAAAGGCTGGGCCCAGGTGCCAGTCAGAGGGGAGCTTGTCTCCTGGAAAGAGATTTCACAGACTGCTGACAACTATATGGCTGACCCTGCAGGGCTGACAGTGAAATATCAGTTGCTGGATAGATCACATCCTGACCAGGACTGCTTAGTCATACCTAAGTGTCAACCCCTGCTGACTCCTAACCCAGATGTCAGGACCCAAAATGGAGGTAGCTGGCCCTTTTCATTGGTTCCTCTTCCCAGTGTGGACACACTGAAATCTCCTTTTTCTGCTCTTCACTATTAACCATCTCTCTAACTGGCTTATTGATGATGAATGGATGGCAGAGCCTATCTTGTGAGGACTGCCAGGACCAGGCTGCTGAAACCCAGCAATTCCAGAAACATGTCAACTTGTAGAAATCAACAGGAGAATTATCCTCTCAAATGTCGACAAGGATTTATTAACAATATTTGTTGTAATAGAAATAATACGCCTTCCCAGTGAGAAATTGCTCTGCACACTGAACATTTTAATTATGCATACTACATAATTAAGAGATTAATGAAGAAAAAAGCTCTTTCTAGCACTTGTCTAGCTCTGGCTAATGCTCAAAGAGGAGATGGCCAAAAACAGAAGATTTCACTAGCTTAAGTACACTTCAGGCTTACAAATTCCACACATTCGGTCATCCTTAAATCTCTTTTAGATCTCAGCCCCAGGTTACACTTTGAGCAATTTAAACAGGCAGCAGACTCATGTCTGGCCACTTGGGCAGATGGGAGAGTTATATAGCAGAGAAATCGCCAGAATTTTTTAAGTACACCTGTGTTGTTCTTTTCACTTAGTTGTTACCTGGGTTCATTTTGCCCACCTGGCAGAATTATGCTTTTACTGAGAAGAGGAAGGGGAGTTAATGGCAGACCAGGACTTAATGGTGCCTGTGACCCTGCACTGCCCCCTAGCATTGCCCCTTAGAGGCATGTTCTTTGATAATGGCTGGTTGTAAGTCAGGGTTATTTCCTTTTGTTACAGGATGGAGCCTAATTGGAGGATAATCTTGCTGAGTAAACATCAGCAGAAACTTTCCCAACAACCTTAAACTTCAATTGTGGCACAGACTTGGCTTTCTCAGTTTCTAACAAGTCTTGTTAGTGCACTACTTCTCTTCCTGTCTTTCTTTTTTTAGGGGAGAGGGTAGAGATGGGGTTTCCCTGTGAAGCTTTGGCTGTCCTGAAATGCACTATGTAGTCCAGGCTACCCTCAAACTCAGAGATTCATCTGCCTCTGCCACCCAAGGCTGGGATTAAAGGCGTGTGCCACCACCATCCAGTCTTATCTTCCAGCCTTCTTGGAAGTAGCAATCCTTTAGCTAAATTCTACTTTGTATAGTTGAATGGTTTCTAAGCAAGCTTATTTAAAAATCCTTTATATTTTTGACAAGGAAGCCAAAATTATACAATGGAAATAAAGCATCATCAACAAATGGTGCTTGCAAAATGTCGTCATGTAGAAGAATGCAAATAGATTCATATCTATTACCATGCACAAAACTGAAGTCCAAGTCAATCAAAGACCTCAACATAAAACCAGATACACTGAACCTGATAGAAGAGAAAGTGGGAAATAGCCTTGATTGCATCAGCACAGGAGAAAACTTCCCGAATAAAACACCAGTAGCACAGAAAGTAAGATCAACAATTAATAAATATGACCTCATGAAACTGAAAAGTTTCTGTTAACGCAAAGGAAAAACAGCAGCCTACAGAATGGGAAAAGATCTTGACCAACCCCACATCTGACAGAGGGCTAATCTCCAAAAAATATAAAGGACTCAAGAAACTAGACATCAAAAAACCAAATAATCAAATAGGCGGTGGTGGTGCATGCCTTTAATCCCAGCACTCAGGAGGCAGAAGCAGGCACATCTCTGAGTTAGAGGCCAGCCTGGTCTACAGAGTGAGTTCCAGGACAGCCAGAGCTACACAGAAAGACCCTTGCTGTGGGATGTTCTGTATGTCCTGTGGGAGCCCATTCTCAGGTTCTTTGTGGCGTTACCCAGCAGGTCCGCATAGAGGATGATTAGGACCATGGGCCTGAGTGCAGGTGTTTGAGATGGTCTGCACTTGGCTGTGCTGGGGGATGGTCTGTATGTCAAGTTGCTCTGATTGGTTAATAAATAAAACCTGATCGGCC